CTCTCTCTGATCAGCAATTTCTCCTTAGTTGTCTGTGTACAACAGTCTTTCCTTCTGTGACTCTTGTGCCAACCTGAGACAAGCATAACCTACAACCTCTCCAGACCTCTGTACATGTATAGATACACATGTAATGATCTGACTCAGAGCCCATTATCAGCAGGCTGTTTTGAAAGCTGTCTTCCACTTAGTCTGTTTAGTAATAAGAATCAATAAATGGTTATTGGTGGTCCTGGCCCATGTCAGTGGTATCAGTCTCATTTTCATTTGCAAAGACACCTTCATGTGTTGTGTCCACAGCACTTCATCAGTGTGATGCTGAGATGTGAGATGTCTGCAGTATAGTGGGTATCAATTCTAAAAATGTCTTGAGTGACATGGGACTGATCATCATCCTGGCATGAATAGCTTCTGTCTCAGAAATGTATGAATAATATACTATAAGCATTGGTCATTTGTCAATCTGGTGTCCTGGAAGAGACAGTACCTAAACCAGCTTACATTAATCTTTTGGAGACAGATGTGGAAAAAAAAATCTATAATTGTGTTGACCAACACAGCTTGAGTCCCTTTCCATTTCTGGACCCTCTTGGGAAGTTAGACTAAAACATGGGAAATACTTTGTATTAGAATTATTTTCATGGAGTAACAAATTGAACAATAATGCACAAGTTACAGTGCATCCATCACATCAGTGAAATAATATTTGATGCATTAAATAAAACTTACTTGATCCCTTCCTTTTTTCCTCTAAATATCTTTTTTTTCCACATGCAACTCTGCAGCTTCATTCTGATCTCCTGCAACCAGTGCCTCCTTATTATCAAGTAAAGAACAAGCCGAGTGATACTGCCTTTTTCCTTCCTCAGCTACTATCAAAACAGTGCAACAACCCCAGTCACAAACTCAAGAGTCTTTTGACAGCAGCAATTAAGCAACTTAATTAATGAGTGAATAAAAATGATAATATTTACTGAATGGGAGCATCCTGTTTTGCATTTTTATTCAAACTGTGCACCTGAAGAATACCACTGAGTGTACTACCTCCTCCCCTTCTGCTTGCAAGCTCTCTTCATTTTTTTTCCACCACGCTATTTTGACTTTGAAAGCACCCAAAAACTATTGCATGCCTAGACACAGGCATGATACTGAGGCACTAAAATACTCTTCCATGCAGCTGAGGGGAATATGCTGCTATCTTTGCTGTGATTCTGCTGACCCTTAAAACTTGGCTTCCCTTTAAGGGACAATTTTCATGATGCATTTGTAAGCTTGAATTTACATTAGAATAGGTGATTAATTACTGATATATGGCTAATAAAGCATTAATGCATTTAGTAATTAACAAATTTTGGATTGACAGTGCTTTCCACCCTCTTTCTCAACATGTTTCATATGCATATATAAAGACTTCTGTTCCCCCATATTCTTTATTTGACTGTTAATCTCTTCAACCTTCATATATTACAAGCATACACATAAATATATGTTTTAGTCTACATGGGTTTTCTCAATGAAATATATAACCTATCTCAACTGCAAGTAAAGCCCCATACATAATTATTTTGGAATGACAGACAGTGAATTCCTTAGCTATTATTTTTGACGACCCTGTCATGGATGCCAGGCATATATTGTGGTAAGAGCCGGAGAAACTTGGGAAAACCCACCTGGGGAGCAAACTCCTTTTTTCTTTATGGAAAGGTTCCCCAAGTGACAGGCCTGCAATCCTGGGTGAGCTTAATTAAAGTCAATAGAGAAAACTAAAGCATTCAAAATTGCTGCCTTTGGGGCTTCCCCACTCTTCTTTTTCTTCATTTGCTGACACTTTTAAGGGTAAGGTGCATTTTAAATTCCTTATTTGGGGCTTGGGGCTCAGTTCATCACATTCCCCTTCTGTTCTGTATCCCACATTAAATCTCGCTGACACTTCAAAGTGTTGTTTCCCATGATTTATGGCTAACTAATGCAGGTGCACTGGGCCTCCTGTGAGGTGCTGAATGTCCTCTTTGACATCAGTATTAATGAATGAAGTTTTGGCATACAAAGCCAGGTAAGGCATGTTACCTAAAAGTGTATATAGGTAAACTGAGGCACCCAACAAGACAACAGTGATGCCAAAAGAAGAATCTAACCTTGTTGGCTCCCAGAGTTCTACAGTATTTACTATGCATTTTGTAGTATGAGTTCTGCTGAGAGCAAAATCCCCTTGGGATTTTCTAAAATATGCCTAACCAGACTTTGTGACCCTAGTCCTACCTCATTTCTTCTCCTCTCCTGCCACAGTTGCACATCACAGGCCAGAGACACACCGAAGCAGCAGAGCTGGGAGCACGCATGGAAAAAAAGAAGGCCTTTGTGTAATAGGATCTTGACCATCTGCTGCACCTGCCATTTCAATCCCTTGTCTGTTTTGAATCATACATTGTCAAATGTCACAATTGCTACCAGGCCTGAAGCTTGGATTAGTTCTTGAGCTTGTAATGCTTACTTTTGAAATGAATGGCAAAATGCCTACTGACTTCAGCACAAGCACAGCTCAAGAACTGACAGCTACAATCACCTTCATTTGCACCCCACCCATAGTCACAGAATATATTGGAAGTGGTGTCAGCAACAGCAGTGGGACTGGGGCATTTGTGACAAACTACCTTTGGGGTTTGCTTTTGGAATAAAATCCTCATTTACCAGCCTCTGGTAATGAGGTGGCTACATGACTTTAGAGTGAAGGCATTTTTATTAGGGCCTAATGGTAGATATCGTAAATGAGGTTTGTGAATTAAGAAAACACTTTGAACATTGAAGTGATCAAAATCCCTGATGATAAAGATGGGTGTCAGAAATTCCCCAGTTCCAATTGTTGGTCCCATAGCACTTACATGATTCACTACATGTTAATTTAGGCTGTCTGTACATCTATTGTAGAGGTAACTGTATGGTGGGATGATGGTAATTACGTATTCTGTCCTCCACAGCACTCAGAAATGTAAGAGGTGTGCTATGTCAAGAGCAGGGGGAATTCAAAGTCCAGTAAGTGTGCCTCATTGGGGTTAAAAAGAGAGCTGCTTCTCTTGCTCATGGAGCTGGAAGAGGCTGAGGTGAGGAGATACACTCAGATTCATAGCAATAAAGGTTCTGTGCAAAATGCTGTCTGGGATCTCAGTTCTGAAAAAAACCTTTTTCCATTCTGTTGTGGGATATCTGAATCCAGCAGATCCAGTTCTCATCTGTTTGTATTTTAAACTGTTCCAGACCAAGTATCTCCTCCTTTCCCTGTTCCTCCTTTCCATGCTCCCTCGGCAAACAGCTCACTTCCTTACTTCCCTCCTGGAGGAAGGATATCAATGCTGAAAAGGTTAAGTGGGCTGCCTTATGAGTTGGGATGTTGTGAAATTTACACTCATTAGCTTCTCTGGGTGGCCATCAGGAATTTAATTAATATCCTTGACATAGGCTGTTATAACTGGTGTCGTGGCTTCCAGATGCCCATTGCTGAGCGAGACAGAGATTGTACTCGTGAAGAGTGACAGCATTCAGGAGTGTGCAGAGGCTTTGTACTCTGTCTTGCAAGAAGAAAGACAGCTCTGGTTGCCACCTTCTTCCTGTGGGAAAAAAGGGAGAAAAAAAAACGGCAGCCTTTTTGCAGGTAGCCTCGCTCATGACAGTAACATCACGTCTGTTTCTGCCCTTGTCAACACATCTCACTGTCCACAATCACTCATCATCTCCAGACAGACAGCACTGGAGGAGATCATCAATTGCCAATGCAATTCAGCAGATACACTTCATAAATTTTAATTACATTCCCACTGAAAATGAATGGTCAGAAAATATAAAACATCTGCCATCCAGATCATTTACATTTTTCATACAATAAATCATTGGCAACATCCAAAACAATGGATTAAATCATGTGGAGTGTGATAGGTCAAGAAAGAAGAAACGGTACCCATCGTGTGATTGGTGTTTGGACCAAAGCCATTACACGGTGTACAGTATCAAGGAAAATAAAAACATTAAAAAATAGTAACCATTTGGACTTGTCCTCATAAATAAAATACCCCTGGTATCAGATAGACTCTTCTAATGGATCTATTACTGCGTCTCTGGAAAAATGAGGGATTGTTTAAGTAAAAGAATATTTAGTTAATTAAGATGGAGGGAAATGAGCATTTATCAATTGAGTGTCTGGCCTATTTAGCTTGTAAATAGAATAAAGAAGTGATGTCAGTGGAAAATAATGTGTTAATCACATTTAACTAATATCATGACTGTTAAAATAACTCAATCAATATTTTCTTCGATAGTGTGGTGTGAAATCCTAGTGTGAGATCATCAACCAATATTTCCAAATTATGTATTTTACCTGACAAAGCATCACAACACAGGTTTAACAAGCCAGGTATGGGACTCAGAGGGGACCTGCTACATCCTTTTGTTCTGTTTGGCAAGGGAGCCAGTCCTGATGGTGATGGTGCAGTGATGCTCAATGAACCCTGCCCCAGGAGGTAAGAAACCTGTGCTCAGCTCCTGTTCTCCTTCAAACTGCTGGAGAGACAGGCCAAGGCACCAGGGTCATATTTCCTTCCACAGAGGGTTTAAGGCAATGCAGCCAGAGCCACAAATGTAAAAATTACTTTCTGTTCTAGGTACCACAGATTTCCTCAGATTTAGTGAGATTTGGCTACCTCAGACTCTTGGAAGTTTTTACTCTGAATTGTAGGTGCTTTGTGCTGTTCAATATTATATTTTTTGTTGTTGTTGTTGTTCTGCTTTGTTTTGTTTCATTATCTTTTTTTAATGTGCAATGATATTGTTATATCACCTTGTGTAGCATTTTTATCCAAATGATGCTTTCTCCGGCCATTCTCCCCACTATCTGTGCGGTTACCAAACCTCAGAGATTGTCCTCTCCCCCTTGAACCATTCTTATTTTCTAAAAACTGAAAGTAGTTTTGGTTGGATCCACGTCAAGGCTTGTTCTTTTGTTTGCCTTTTAGATAGTACCAATCCAAAGGCATGGACATCCATGGGAGCAGCAAACTGCGAACACACTCAATCACAAGTTGTTGGATACAGCACATCCTCATCCCTAGAGCAGATGAGAGATTAGTGTGTTTGTTAACCTCAGTATCTTTCCTGTTGAATGAAATGGGTGGAAATCAGGTATACACTGAGCAAATGTTTATTTTGACTGGAAGCCCTGTCACTTTGTGTATTTATGTGAAATAGAGAGATGTATGCTTAGCCTGAGGAGGTATCTGCACTCTTCAAAAAAAGGCCATTGATGAATGGCTGTGAAAGCTATACTTTTATCTGTTTTATGTTCTTCTAATGCTGCTAAATTGTTGTATATTAGGTTAAAAAATAGTTCATTCTGACGTTACATGATGAGCATGTCTCGCAATGGTATGTGCAATATAAGCCTCTTTCATTTGACGATTTACTGCTGTTAAAAAGAAATAAAAATCCTCATAACATATGAGAGAACAATGTAGCTGAGAGATTTTTCAAGGTGTTCAGCTTGAGTTCCTTGAACTAGGAATAATGTTTTTTTGACTCGATGTATCTGTGTATTTTTAATTCAGTTACACAAATATCAGGGGGAAAGAGATAGCAATTTTTTCCCTCATAGAGATGTTTTACTTCTTACTTAACTCCTTTACAACAATAGTAATTATTAAAAAATACCACAGAAGTGCTGCAGCACATGTTATTAGTTACTATTTATACAGTGACACATATTGCTCTACAGACAAATAAAAACAATGTGGCTTTTCCTCTCTCACAGTGATGTTTTATGGGCTTTTCATCACAAGTTTGGCCAGCTGGTTTAGGTATGAAAAGTAATTCTCCCTGAATCTATTCCTTTTGCCCCTAACCCCACCCTGAAAGGATAAGTTTTTTAAAATCACAAAACCTTTGTGCCATTTTGGTCTGCTCTTCCCATCTTGTTCCACATCCCCCAGTTCCCACCCATCTCCACACTTCTCTCATTTTCTAACCTTTTTTCCCCTGTTGTTTTCAGTCCCATTGTTGCCATCTTCACATCTGCTCAGTCCGGGTCTAGAAGCAAAACAAGCAAGCCGTAGTGTGAAGTTCCCAGTACCTGTGCCCGTCCTGGGAATAAAAGGTATTGGCAGACCAGTTTTTTCCCATTGTTTCCAGGCTTTGGCCCCAACAGTGCTCATCTGTATATAGTAGGATATGGGATAGTCCAGTGCACTGGACTATCTATCTAACTGCTTCCTCCTGGCTTTTCCCTCCACCAAATTATCCACTGCCCATTGCTTCCTCCTAGGCTTCCACAAGAGTGCCTAGGGAAGCCAAATGATGTTCCTAAGGTGCTGGCTGGCCCAGCATGTACAAGAGGATATACTCTACATATCCTTAAAGGAAATAAAAATTCTGCTTCTGCTGTTCAGGGAGTGCTAGGGCCTGCTCAATAACTGCTTTAAGCCCTCCTTATACTTTGGATTTACAGATTTCAGGGAGCTGGTTGAAGGTATGTATTCCTAAGAACTCATTCAATCAGACAAAACCAAGAAGTTTAGGAAGTTTGTCCAGTCTTTTAAGGGACTTCATCACTTCTTTCTCAGTGTACCTCCATTGTGAAACATTTCCTGCAAAACTTACACAGATTGAGGAGAAAGTTCAAAAAAGCATGAAGGCTCCTAACATGTCACTCCAGCAGAATGCAATTGCCTAAATTCATGCCATCGATTTGATTCCTTACATACCTGAAGATAAGCTCAGGTGGGTACCTAGAAGTTTCTAACACAGCTCTGGTGCCAGTGACTTTCTCTGGATCAAGTGCATGCTGTTGACAAGGCCTCCAGATCACCCCCACCAGCTGAGCTTTGGTTTGTGTCCAGGATCAAGGTCAGAATGTACCAGCTGGCTTCCTCTTGGGTAAAATCCATCTGGAAGAAGCACTCTGGGAGCTCACTGAACACGCCCAAGGCACACATGGGTGTCTCAGCTTGGTGGGACCAGGCTGCACTAGTCCAGAAAGGCCACCCTGGAGGACTTGTGCCATGGCCATGCAGGGCTCAGTCCCAGCTCTTTCGCTGAACACATCTGCTCCTATTGGTCTGTGTGACAAGTGCAGGCACAGCCACTGTAGCTGTGCAGCTTGTCCCAGAGCTGGCTGTGCGTGCACACGCGTGCGCGGGGCCGTGTCACCCGCACGCGCGTGCTCGCACACGTGTGTGCATGTGCAATTTATCATTTTTTTGTGTGTGACACACCAAAAATAATGTATGAGCTCCCTCTGCTGCTTTATACAAAGAAATTAATCAAGAAAATTGCTTGCAAAGCTGAGAGCATTTTATTCATATCTTGCTGATAATGCTGTATGCACAAGTAATGCTAAAAATAAGTGCGTATTATGCTTGCAAAGCACTGTCCAAACATTAAATAATTAAATAAACAAAAGAATCTGTGCTGACTTTTTTGACTCATAAAATATTCCAAATATTTCAAATGTTTTTTTCAAATGGTTTTTTCAAAACCTCTCAATATTTTAGATAAGAGAATGTTTTCTGACTTCCAAGAAAGTATCAGTAAAATCAGTGTAAACTCTAGTGAGAGGTAAGATACATTAAATATAACTAGGATTTTTTCTCTTCTTAAAGGAAATAAATAATTTTTAGATGCTTAATAGTAATATTTTGTTGGGTAAGAAGTTTTTGGATGTCTTTTGCACTGTGTTAAAGAAGCTTTATATAGCTAAACAATGTGTCATGAGCTACTCTTGAAGTTTATCTGAACTTCTAAGTCCCATAGAAAAAGAAACAGATTACTTTAGTGACAAAAACAGACCCATGCAGAAGAATATTGTTCTAAAGACTTTAAGAAGCTCTAAAATATATTTTTGTCCTTTCTTTCTTTTCTCTTCTTCCTAATTCTTCTGCTTTTAAAATGATGCAAGAGCACTAACTGAAATACATTATTATTTTATGCATTGGAAGGGTAATTTTGATAAATTGACTTGCAAACAGGTTATTTCCTGAAGGGGTAAAATAAAAAGTGTAGCTCTATGAATATATTCAAAGAAAAAGTTAGATCTGGATGAAAATTTTTAGTCAATTTTTCATCCTGAAAGTATAGGTCTAGTTAAACAGGAAAAAAAAGGATGTATTTCTATCAATTCAAATAATCGGTTTGAATGACTTTTGAAAGATTTTTTTGACATTTTGAATTGCAGAATAATAGACTGAAGATACCCCTGGAGTTATCTGATCCCTGCCCAAATTAAAGTGTCTCAATATTGCTTAAGTGGATGCTTTTCTCTAAAAATGAACTTCAGTTTAAAAAAAAAGGAAAATATATTCAAGAAAAGCTCCCAAAGTAGATGAACATATTGAATCATACTAGGTATTAAATGTGACACAAAGCAATGCTTGCCTTTGCCCTAGAACTTAGTAAGAAATTAAAAAATATTTAACCAGAAAATAAAAAATGAAAGCAAATTTATTGTCAGAACTGTTCATGAACAATCATGTTGTATGTGCAGGGCTGCTTGATCTCAACTGACAATGAGAGACAGAGAACCAAATAGAAGAAATCTGTTGCTGGAATTGCACCAACCTCATAGGCTGAGCCAAACACATTGGAGCTTCCTGAATATTACAGAATCACAGAATCATTAAGGTTGGAAAAGACCTCCAAGATCATCAAGTCCAACCTTTGACTCATCACCACATTGCCAGCACTATTTGACATGTTCAGTCATTTCTTGAACATTTCCAGGGGTGGCGACTCTACCACCTCCCTGAGCAGTCTGTTCCAATGCTTAACAAGCATTTTTGTGAGGAACTTCTTGATGCCCAGCCAGAATTTTTGGCGCAGCTAGATCCTATCTCTCATCCTGTCACTGGTTCCTGGGAGAAGAGACTGATCCCTGTCATGCTACAACCTCTAAGTCATCATCGAGAGTGGTAAGGTTCCCCTGAGCCTCCTTTTCTGCAAGTTAAGTAACTCCAGCTCCCTCAGCCGTACCTTATAGGACTTATTCTCTACTTTCTACTTACTCTCTACTTATAGGACTTACTCTCTCTGCCTTCACCAGAGAGGCAATGAAGCTAGTGAAGGGTAAAAAGCCTTTTAAGGAGCAGTGGAAGCAGCATGAATCTGCAAGAACTGTAACTAATAATAAACTTCAGTAGTTTCAAGTTTTCAGAAATTTTTCATTGCTTTGACTACTTCTGCCTTTTGACTTACAGGACTGATACTTTCCCTGGCTTTTGAATACTTGTCTATTTAGGATTCTCGCAACACCTTTGTTCAACAATTGTTTGCTACTTGCTGCCTGTATTGGTTGAGTGGGACTATCACCCTATCCTTTACTTTCACTCCATATATGTCAACTGTTGACCACAGACCTGTAACTGAAAGGCAATTTATTGCAGCCACTTTTAGTGTAGGACTGTTTTCTCATTTGTCATAACTTTTTAAACATCTGTAACTTGTTTCTCTATGTGTATACAAATTGATGCCAAACTAGACTAAGCATGTAGCTATCTGTGTTTATTCCACCATTAACAACTTAGCAAGGATAAGAGGCATTTGATATTCTCTTTTTTTGTCAAGGCTTGCTTTTGTGATACTATAAGAAAACAATATTTCTATCTGATTGAGTGCTGAGCTGTGATTTTGAGCTTTACTAAATAACAGGTATGACAGAGTCGTCCTTAATTTCTATGTATGTACTGAACCATGTTGCTCAGGACTGTAAGTATTGGGTAGCTGCATTGAAAATGAGTGCACCTCTCACAAAACCTCAGCTTTAATAAGCCATCTTTATTTGTCCACATTTGCCAGCCCTTTCTATCATGGGAATCTCTCTGTAAACACTTCTGATAACCGAATTTGGGTCTAATAAATACACTATTCACTGATGGAACTATAATTATCCAATCTGCAGGCTTTGCACATATAGGAGTGGTTGAATCAGATATTCTAACACAGGCCCTGATGTCTCTTCTGGCAACTTCACCACCTCAGTAGTTTGTGTTTTTCAGTTTTAAATTGGTAATATTAAATGTCTTTAATAGGTTATTACTGGAATCCTGTAGACAACAGAGACAAAGTGAATACAAATAGAGTACTTGACAAATCACAGACTGTAATGGTTGGTAGATCCCATTGGCAATTTAGTAATG